TTTTTTGCCCTACATCTATTCCTGGGGGTTTGTCTTTTCTTGTATGACAACCACAGGCATAATCAGGTCTGGTGGGCCACATAAAAGGATGTGGCAGACCACATTTGGCCCACGGGCCGTGAGTTTGACTTGTGTGATCCTTTCACTTGAGTAATCATAAATAAGATAATCAGCTCCAGCCTTCAAAATAAAAGCCTTTCACATGGACTTCCTGCACATATCACTGTGTAATACTTGTCGTACATTAGTTACACATTAGCCTGACTTTTGATTTAATGGCGGACTCAGACGGGTCAGTCGGAGTCAGGGCTGGGTGTGGCCCTGAGCTGCAGGGCAGTTGCACATATATTTATAGACAGTTCTCTGTAAATCTGTAAATCTTTTAAAAACATGGTGGTTCAGCTGTTGACAAACTTTATCTCCTTCATCGTCTGAGCCTTCCTTTACAGGAAGTATTTTGTTTTGTTGTTGTTACACAAACTTAGATAAGCGGCTCTAACTCAACCTTCCTGTGATTGGTCAAATAGTTTGTCACACTCCTGTGATGTCATTGGTCAAAGTCTGCAGACATAACTGTAGAGCACAGAGTAGAAGAAGAAGGAGTCTAAGAAAAACTTGTTTTTACATATTTTGAATATATTGAATCAGTGAAGAAATCCTCACAGGAAATGTGAAGGTTCACGGAAAAGTTTGGCCTTTAATTAAAAAATAAAATACCATAACAAACTCCCACTCCCACAGTCACACACTTAGCCAAACACGTGATGTATCAGAGGGGACGTGTAACATTTGCACCTCCTCCTCTGTTTCTCCTCTTTAAGCCACGTCTCCTTCCCCTCAGTGTGCTTCCTCCTGCTGTAGCACTCGGCAGGACTGTCAACCTGACATGCTGGGTTGAGACACAGAGGGACGAGACTCCCTGCATCATTGAGTTCTGGTGTGGTCCCATTAACATCCACAATGAGTCTGCCACCAGTGAGCCACAGGAGGAAGTACACACTAGGAAGAAGAGGGTGAAGGATGGAGTGGAGGTGGCAGGAGGAGGAGGAGGAGGAGGAGGAGGAGGGGACGGAGAAAGAAAGGAGATGAAGTGAAGGAGGGACACAGGTTGAACTGAGGTCTGAGATAAGAGAGGAATAAAAGGAAACTGATGAAGGAGGAGAATTAATACCAGGTGAAGAAAGAGCAGGATGAAGTCATGAATTCTAAGAAAAGGAAGGGGGAGCTGGTGGAGGAGGAGGTGTGGGCGGAAACAATAGGAGCAGAGCGAGGACTCGGCAGGTCGAGACAGTGGAATGTGGCTGAGGCTCAGAGGTGGCGAGTGAACTCCAGTACCAGTCTATTCCCATCTGTTCTCATTAGAGCCAGGTTTCGGAGGGGAAACCGACACGGCATATTCAACACATGAGCACACGCACACACCGACACACTTACTGTCACATTTCATCCCCTGGTGGATGAGGCCGTACAGCAGTGAACCACAGTGGTCACAGAAAGTGGGACTGCCGTATGAGTGGATCTTGAACTTGTGCTTGCTTCTTGGATCCTGAGGAAAGAGTTGGAGTTAGTTTGACGGTGTCACAGTAAAAAGGTCCTTAAAGGGACGTTTGAGCAGCTTCCATCAGGCCATAGATAACGGTTTAAGACTTAAAGGTAGGGTTGTCCTCTAAGGACACAGTTGTTTTTTTTGGATTTCAACACCAGCAGTGTACCGAAAGTTACACTACTGCCATCTACTGGGTTCATTTTCCACCACTTGCAAAATAAAAGAAATAGAAAATACCGGCAGAGGGCAATATCAATGCAAAAAGAAACACCACCATACTGGTATAGCTGCATATAACCCATGAATCAGGGTATTGATTTGTGATCGCTACATTTTTTGGGGGGTTTATTTATTGGCAACAAATCCAAAATAAACTTGTATTTGGTAATTTATTTGATTTATTTGAGCTTTTTTGTTTACCACCGTCTTCATCAAATAACGTTGTGTTTTTTGGGTTTTTTGTTTAAATTGGTTTCACTTTCAACGATCTGCACATTAAACTGTCGCCAAAAAAGACTCCCAGAAACAAAGACGAGAACAGAAGAGATTTATGAGGTTGTTATCAGTGTCGGTAGCTCGGAACGTCTGGGTGATTTGTGTCTGTTGTCACTTCTCTAAATCTTTATCGCTGCATATATTTTGACTTACTTTTGTCACCTGAGGTACCGCGTTCCATGCGGCGATGCTGTAGTGCCCTGGTTGTGTTACTGTGTGTTTCTTACAGCATCTTGCTGGGTAAAAAAACCCTCCACTAATAAGCCGTAGAGAAGTGACGCTGTGATCTGTCTCCAAAATAACAGTGAGGACAGAGTACAAGTAGGTTTTATTACAGAAACGCTATTCTCAGCACATCCTGGGGACGTGTTTCATTTTACCTGTGCGTCTCAGGTCCATGCGACCGAAGTCCATATTTTTCCACCTAGTTCTGTAATAGCTGAGGTTAGCTAATCTTAGCAATCACTACAAAACAAACACGGCTGTAATTAAAGGCCTGCAAATGAGGGTGGATCAACCCAGATCAGCACGGCCTCTGAAATGTGTCAGAAGAAGTGCATGTGTAATTATACAGGCCGCTGACTGAGTAAGTGGGCACGCTGCACTGGGAAGTGGCCTTCGCTCCATGAACACAAACATGCTAAATCAACGGAGGATGGAGAATCAGAAGGAAGAGAGAGAGAGAGAGAGAGTCTGTGGGTAAAAAAGGAAAGTAGTTGTTAGAGGACAGGACTGTGAAAGACAGAGGAAAAAAAGTTGCTAAAAAAAATCCCCCAACTCTTATTCTTCTTTTACTGAGCTATTTTTCTTTTTTCGCTGTGTTCCACTTAGTTGTAGGGACACGAAAATTACGTTGTAAGGTTTCCTCAGTGATCGTTCAAGAATGCAGGCCCCGGGAGAGACGATAGTATCTCTCCATTCCCTCCCTCCCTCCCCCTCCACTTTATTGGCTCCATTTCTCATTGATGTTCCTCCAGGTCTCTGGACAGCCAGACCTGAATGTTTCTGACTTTTATGGCCAGCTTTCTCTTTTATCTTCCTTTATGTATTTTCATTTTTTCTCTCAAGCGTATTCACTCCTGCTGTTGAAAGCCAAAAGCCAAAGCCAAAATGTAAAACTGAAATGAACTAAAGATGATAAACGAGAGTCACATTGGCAATGATAAAAAAGTCCTTTACAATTTTGCTAATGTGTTTCTGCTAATAGCTAGCCTGCCACACCTTGAACCTTTGAAGAGTTCATGTACATTAAAATAAAAAATACTTTTGTTACAGTTATACAAGTTATTCTAATTCTATCTAATACATCCATTAGAAAATTGTAATATGGACTTTCATGTGTATTACTGTTTAAAGACAAAATACATTTGTAAATATAGTAGATATAAAATTTCAGAGCTCTGAGATCAAATCTACAGGTTAAGATGTGTTTTTGTGTGTGTTGAAAACGAGTATCAGACATAATAATATGCATGGTATTACATGCAGTACACCTGCAGAGGCAGAGACTTGGCAGCGATTACTGTGGCCCACGCTGCAACATTCAAATCTTCTCGGTTAAATCAACAAAACTGTAATGATGATTAGGATTTCTTCCACAGTCAGCGTGTCAGACTGAGCCTCTTTACACCGGGACAAATGAAGACCCAGCTGAAGTGAACTATAACTTCTCATCTTTTTATAGATTCATGTGTTTATCTGAAGAAAAACAGGAGGCAATGAGACAAACATACTTTCATCCTCAGTAATATTTAGGAGTGTTTGAAGCATACACACTCAATTTGCTGCAGTCTGTTCCAGTAGAGGGCGCTCTAAACACAACTAACTAGACCCTAAACAAGCCCAAATGTTCAGAAATCCAGTGTGGAACAAACCACTGTTTGACGGATACATCTGGATGAATAACAATCCCTCTGTGCCTGCTCACACACACACACACACACACGCACACACACACACACCAGGCCATGGTAAAGGGAGCTCTACTACTATCCTGAAAGGTAAATACTGAATAACAAGTCTATAAGATACTAATAGATATTTTGGAAATTTAGCAGATTGTGAAATATGCAACTCTTTTGGCTGCAGACTACACTATTGATGCCTATGTGACTGCGCAGGAAGGAGCAGAAGTTATATTTAATAACAACAATGGTCCACTCAGCCTTGTAAATCGCTGGGCACAGATCAGAGTGTACAATTATAACCACCAACAGCCGGAGCAGCTGAGGTGGAGTCAGGAGGGAAGGTGGTCGCAGCGAGGCCAGGTGAAGCCTCGCTAACAAATCTAATGATGTATACCACCAGCCACATTAAGCACAAGAGGAAGAAGTTAAAGCTGCGAGAGCTCCGCTGAGTCAAAGAGTGTTAATTAATGTCAGGCACTGACAGGCCCACCACAGGGACTAACAGTATCCCGTTACTAATGGGATATTACTGCCGTAACAAGTGAATGTGAGAGGTCGACGTGAACAACATCCGAGGTTAGCTGGTCCCCTGCCAACTTGGATGGATTTGTGTGTAAATTTCATTAAAGGCTAAAACAAAACGTTTGATCCCAGTTTGATGTGACTCTACTGAGAGGCGTCCAATCAGAGGGGCAGGATCTGAGCCTGACACTTGATGTCAACACTGTCTAAGTGAAGACAATACAAATCCACACCACATTGAAGAAACAATTATGAACACGTTATGACTAAGGATAGAAAATACTCTGCAGACGCATCAAACGATGATTTTTAAAAGTGCAAACATAATTTTTGATGAATGTGTTGACAAAACAAAGTGTACAACTGCACAGTTACTATGGAGATAATAGCTGCGATCGTCAAAGTCACTTAAGGTGAAGCAAACAGTGGAGAGAGAATAAAAAAGATAACAGAAGAATGAAAACCTGTGGTTAAATAAGGATAATGGAGTGTTTATTATAGGCATCAAGGACTGAAACCATGGAAGGACAAAGGGCTTTCAAACGACTGAAATAAACAGCAATATTACACTATAATAATCCAGTCCCTTAAGGCTGCAGTTTATTCTTAGTTTTATCAAAAATAAAATAAAAACTATGTAAATATTTGACTGATGCCACATCATAGACCCGACATATTAAACAGAACATATTCCTGAGTCATGGCCTGCCCTCTTCATTGGTCGTTTCTGTAAATCATCTGCCTTTATTTCACACTATCTCCTGCCTCCCCCCAAAATCCTACCCCCATGTCCTCCCTCACACAACTACTCTTTTGTGATGTCTTTTTACTACTACTACTCTACTGTCTTCCTTGTCCAAACCATTTCATCACTGAATTGAAATTTACAGTTCAAACTGGACAGTGTCACTGTCTAGAGTGTTAGTCACATGAATGAACACTAGGGGCACTGTGTAGAGTCCAGAAGCTTAAAATAGAAATTTTACAATAATTATTATTATTATTAAATATTTGTGTCACTAACTCGTTCCACAGTGATGTCACTTCCTGTTTACATCCTGTTCCTTACTCGCTGTATTACGTTGTAATGAATTTCACATTGAGTTCCAGTCCAGACTCCTATCAATCATGGATCTAATTTGCAGGATGACATTTCTCTCTCCCCCGCTCTCTCTCCCTCCCTCTCTCTCTTCTTGTTGCAGTGTAATGGACCATCACCTCCAGACTTCCCTACTGTAGAACCATTATGTAAATGAGAGATTTAAAGTCTTTAAATCAGGCAGCAAACACCAGCTTCTGACGCTAAAAGGCCTGACAAATCTGTTGTTTTTGGATCAGCGTGCTGTTCACAGGCTCAGTCACGTCTTCACTGCTTTATCTATTATAGTACGCCTCTATTGACTGCTCGCCTCTCCAGCGCTGGTAGTGAATTAAACATCAAAGGGCTGTAGGATGTACAGCATCCTCCTTCACATACATGCAAACATGAAGCAGAACAAAGACAAAGGCAAATGGAGAAGCTCATTAGTGAAAACTGGTTCACGGAGCCACGTCGGCAGACGACCAGGATTAAGAGATAGGGTGTGGTAATTATGGAGATGAGGCAGTTCTGTATTCACACGCCAATATTGAGACAAAATATTTAGTAATTCAGACAGGACTAGAGTTGAGAACTATTGGAATTCTGTTGAAGTGGTGGACGCAGTAGGCCATTACTGACTAACAAAAACTACTGTAAGTGTTTGAATAAAAGTAAACGCTACACAAAGACTTGGTTATTCAACACAAATTGTGGTTGAGCTACAGATAGGGGGAGACAGTGTGGTGACGTATTCGACACATGATGCAGTTGGTTGTATCTGAACAGAGGCAGACTCAGGGCTCGGTGGTCTGCTTTCTGACTCCAGCTGTCGGGCATCATTAAGGGACACCAGTGGTGACGACTCTATTTCTGCTGGGTGGTAATTGAGCTGTGAGAGGGGGTGAGCTGTTCGGTTGACTTTAGGAGACGGTTGACTGTTTCAAGAGCCGGTGGAGAATCCCACTCAGAGTAAGAGGGCGAGTGAGAGGGCTCCA